GAAAATTTAAAAAAAAAAAATTTAAAAAATTAAATGAATTTAAATTAATAAAAATTAATATTACAAATAGGAAAAAAAAATTTAATTAAAAAACCAATAATTTTTTAAATTCATAAAAATTCAAATAAATTAAAAACTTTTAAAATATAAATGATAAAAAACTAAAAAAAATTATTAAATAAAATATACAAACCTTTAAAATAAATTATTTTAATATAATTATTATTATTATTATTATTATTATTATTATTATTATTATTATTATTATTATTTATAATATTATTTATTTATATAACATTAAATTAATTTTTATTTATTTTAAATCTTTTTTTTATATCTAACGTATTATCTTATTTATTTTTTTTTATTTATTTCATTTTTATAAATAGTATTTTAGATATTTATATTAAAACTGTTTTTATATAATAATTATAATTAATATTTATTTTATAATTCCTTTATATTATATTTTGTTAATATAAATTCATTATAAATTGCAATTTATAGATCTTTTAACTTTTAATGTTAATTTTTATGAATAATACATTTTCTTTTAATCGATTTAAGATTAAAATTCCATTAACATAAAATCTCTTAAAATTAATATATTATTAATTTTTATTAATAATATATTTATTATATTATTTTTTCTTTTCTTTTATTTTATTTTATTTTAATTTAAATAAATAATCTTATTTTCTATTATATTGATTCTTATAAGTATATGTTATATAATATAAAATTATATCAAAATTTTTTATTTTATTCTATAACTATAAATATATATTAATTTTTTATAAAAATTAATATAAAAGTAAATATAATATTAAAATAAAAATAATAAAAAATATTATTATAATAAAAATTCAAATAATAAATAAATTAAAATAAAAAATAATAAAATGCAAATATTTTTTAAAAAATATTATTTATATTTTTCTAAATATTATTTATTATTTGTTTTTATAATCTTTTAAAATATTAATACTTTATACATATAATAAAGTTTTTTTAAATAATTTTTTATATTTACAAATTTTAATATTTATGTATAATTAAATCTTCTTTATGGAAGTATTTATTTTAATATACTTACTTATTATTATTAATAAAAATTATTTAATTTCAAATAATATTTATATATATTTAATTTAAAAATATAATTAATTATATTTAATATATATGCACAAATAGGATTTTTTAAATTTTTTATTATTATTTAAATTAATTATTATTAATATAAAATTTCAAATAAATTTAGACAGAATTTTTTCATAACAAATAAGTAGAAAATAAAATCCTAATTTATAATATTATTATTCATATAAATAATATTTTATATGATTTTTTTTTTTAGGATAATTACTTTATTATATTAAATAAAATTTACAAAAATGAATATATTTTAAAAATTATTAAATTTAAGTTTATTTTATATATAATATATTATTTAAAGACTAAAAACAAAAAATATTGAAATCTATTTTTCATATTTTAGTTAATTATATTATTATTTTTAACATAAAAATTTGTATATAATTAAATAAATAGGAGAAATTATAATCATATTAATAATTATTATAAAAACTTATCAAAATTATATAAAAATTAATTAAAATTAATGAACTTAATTTAAATTTTGGGATTAGCTTAAATTAAATTACTTTTTTATTTTAAAAAAAAATATATTATAAGATATAATGAAATTTTAATAATAAATATATTTTTTTTAAATAATAAGAAATATAGAAAAATAATTTATTAAATTTGAGTAATGAAAAATAAAAATTAATAATGAATATTAAAGGGATAAAATATATTATTTAGTTTAATTATTTTATTAATTTAATTTAACTAAAAATAAGAATTTATTTAAAATTAAATTTAAGCATTTTACGATATTTTATTTACTAATTAATGTTATATACGTAATTTGTATTAAAATTAATTATTAATTCACTTAATTAGGCAAAAAAAAATTTAAATTAATTATAAACTTTAAGTAAATTAATAGAATTCAATTTTTTAATTTTAATTTCAATTTTTTTTAATAAAAAGTTAAAATAATATGATTTCTGTTTAATTTTAAAATGTAAATCTATTTTTTTAGAGTTTAAGTACTAAAATAAATAAAATATAAAATTTATATTTTTTGATAATATATTAATAGAAAAAATAAAAATTATGTATTTATTAAACTCTAAGTTATTAATAATTGCCTAAATATTATAAAAATATATAAATTTAATTATTTATTTTAGGTAAATATTAAATATTAATTTAATATTTATTTAAAGTGAAAATATGACATTTAATACCGAATGAAAATTCAAATAATTTATTATAATAATAATTATAAAATAATTTAATTAAATTATATTTATTAAAAATAAATTTTATTTTCAAATAATATTTTATTTTTTATATAATAAGTTACAAAATTTAAGATGAGCAAAATTTATTTTTAATTTTTTATTTTTATTTATAAAAAGAAAATAAAAAACATCCAAAAAGTAATTAACTTTTAAATGAAAAAAAATATAAATATAAATATTTTCGTTATGATATTAGATTTACCAAAAAAAAATTGGAACTATGTTAATTTAATATAGAGTAAAATAAAATATATAGAAACTCTTTTATTATTTATTTTTATATAAGTGATAAATATTATATTATTGAAGATTTAAAAATATTAATAATAAAGTTTAAGTACATTAAGTACATTAAATATTTTATATTAAAATTTTAATAAAAAAGTATTTTATAAAATCTAAAAATTTAGAAAAGAATTATTTATATATTATTTTAATAATGTTGCTATAAAAATATTATCTATTTAAATATATTATATTTAAATTATGTAATTAATAATAAATGAAAAAAAATATTTTAATTTTTTTATAAAGGATATTTCAAATATTAATAACTTTATGAAATAAAAATTATTTTAAAATGGAGAAAGTTAATAATATAAAAAATTTATATATAAGCATAATAAGTTTTTTTTATTACTAAAAAAAATAAAATTATTATTAAATAGATATTATAAAAATATAGAAAAGATATTCTTAAAAATAAAATTATATATAATTATATTATATATATATATATATATATATTTATATATATTTTTATATAATATTTTTTTTTAATTTTTAAATATACAATCGCTATTTATATTTATTATTTATATATAATTTATATAAATTTTTAATTATTTTCAAAAGATTTTTTATTTTTTTACGTAATTAAAAGTTAATTTATATTTTTTTGTTTTGTTTAAATAGTTTATAATCTTAATTTAAAATCATAAAATAAAATAAAAATTAATAATAATTGCGAAAAAAATAAGATTTATTACTAAATGAATTACGATTATCAAAATAAATAAAATTAATAAAGAAATAATAGATACAGTTAAATATATGTTGATAAATAATAAAATATCAAAATTCCTTAACTATAAACTATTTCTAATTCAAATTTTTAGATTTAAAACATTTAGAATATACCAGAATAGAAAAATTAAGATAATAAAATAAATGAAATAAAACCTATTAAAAAAAAATATTTATCATAGAAATCTTCATAGAATTATAAAATTTTGATATATTAATTAACTCTTTCGATATTTTTTTTAATATCATCATTAATTTTATTATTTGTGATAAATTTAATTGAATTTAAGTAAGGTTAATGTAATGAATTATATGTTTGGGGAATAGCAAATGGAATAATAAATTTGATTTTTTTATTTATCCATATTTTAAATATAATAATAACATAATTATAATAAAGAAATCATAAGAACATATAGGATCGTAAGTATTAGTACAGTTTTTTATATTTAAGTATATTTTCCAATATTTTTTTATAATAAGTTGTATTAACTTATCAGTTATTATTGGAAATTTTAAAAGATGTGGGGTTTTAAATTTAGTTATCATGATATATTTATATTTTGATTTTGTTTTTATTATTGCTTGTGTTTTTATTGTTATATTTTAATGCTTTGATATTTATAATAATAATAAAAATAATTAATAAAATTATAAAGATTGTATTGATTAAAAAAATGATTCGCCTTGTTTATAATAAGTTATAAGGAGTTCTATTAGTAGAAATGGCACTTATTAAACTTTTGTAAACTGATATTTTTATGAATATGTAAATTATTTAAAAATATAAGTTAAATATTCAATTTTATTTTTTATAAATTTACATGAAACATTTGTATTTATTAATTGTCTTTGTTTTTTACGAGTTTTTGAATATTTTTTGTAATAACACAAGAGTTTATTTTCTTTTCAAATATTTTTTTTATTTTTTTAAGATATAAATATGATATGCTTATATTATTTATATATATATATATATATATATATATATATATATATATATATTTATTAAAATTAAACACCGCGTATTTATATTTAAAAAAGAAATATTATTTATTTTTTTAGATAATATTTATTATTTTTATAAATCTATTTTTATTAAAATAATCTTATTTATTTTTTTTATTTTTCTAATAATAAAAAACGAAAATAAATAAAAAATAATCAAATTATAAATAATAATATTATTTATTATAGAATTAAATTTATTCATAATATATTATTTTTTAAAAATGTTTTTTCATTTATAATTTAAAATTTCTAACTTCAATCTATTGTTGAAAATAAGGAGAAAAATAAATAAAAATAGAAACAAAATAAAAAAGAATAATTATATATATATATTTATAATAAATATTCGCTTATTTTTTATTATTTTAAAAAATTAATAACAAAAAATAAAAAAAACTAATAAAAGAAATAAAAGAATCAAATGGAAGGATTAAATCAATTGTTAGGTTCAAATAAAATGTAAATAATAACCAAGTCTAAAATAAGATACGAAGGTGAATTATTTAAAATAGATGCAGCAACATCGACAATAGCTTTAAAAAGTGTAGTTTCTTTTGGAACTGAAGGTCGAAGACCAGAAAATGAAATTCAACCATCAAGTACAGTATATGATTATATATCATTTAGAGGTTAAGATATAGAGAAGATATTGGCATCAGTACCTAACTAATAAGAAGAATAATAGTATTAATAGTAATAAGGATAATAATAACAATAGTAATAAGGATAATAATAACAATAATAATAATAGTAATAATAAATAAAAAAATAAGAAAATGATTAAAGCAAACCTCCTGGAATATAGAATGAAAAAAATAATGAATTTGATATAACAAAAAGAAGTGAATAATTATCTGAATAAATAGAAGAAAGAAAAAAGAATAATTAATAAGGGAGTGTTTAAAGCTATAATAAAGATGATTTTTTTGATAAGATTTCTTAGGCGAAAACAGGAAGAAATTAAGAAACTTATGATGAAAGATAAACTCAAATAAAAGTTGATAATGATACTTTTGGGCAAGAATATTGTAAGTTAAATGGAAAAATTGAATTTAGAAAAAAACATAATAATAATAGAAATTAATACCAAAAAAATAATTACAAAAATTACTAAAGAAGACCAAATTAAGGATACAGGAATAATAATCATGAAGGTGGATAAAGAAATTATTAATAAAATAATCACTATTAGTAATAGAATAACTATAATGATAATAATAATAATTATTACAAAAAAAAATAATAATAATAATAAGATGAAACTCAAGATAATTAATAAAATAGAGAAGAAGAAATATAATAATAATTTGAAAGAAATTTGAATATAAATGATAATTAAAATAATGATAATTAAAATAATTATTAAAATAGGGAATATAACAGAAATTATAAAAATAACTATTAATAAAATAGATATAATAACTATAATAATAAAAGAAATTATAATAACGATAATAATAATAAAAAATATAATAATTATAATAATAATAATAATTATAATAAATATAATAATAATAATAATAATAATAATAATAATAATAATAATATTAATTATAATAATATTAATTAAAATGCAAATATTATTAATGATAATATTAAAGATAATAATATTAATAATGATATTAATAATTGATTTTTTTGTAAGTAAACAAAAAAAATATTTATTACGATGGTAGAATATGTTACATATATTTGTTTATTTTTATATATATAATAAAAAATATATATATATATGAAATACAAATATTATAACTTATTAATTATAAAATATTTCGTATTATTAAACTTTTTAAAAAATATTATTTAATATATATCTATATTTTTTATATTAAAAAATATTATATTTTTTATAATGATATTATATCATATTTTTAATAGATCTTTTTATAAAATTTTATTTTTTTTATTATTAAACTTTATATAAATAAAAAAAAATATATAAATATATTATTTATTTATATATAACGTTTTTAACTAAAGAATTTTAATCATTTTTTTTATTTATTTATATTTTTTTCTACTTCCTAACATAAATATAGTATAACTTTTTTTACTTCTTAAGTAATTTTTATATTATTTAAACTCTATTGTCTATTTAAATAATTTTAAAAAACAATATTAATATTTTAAACCTTTCATAATCATTTGAGTTTTATAAACATTAATACATATATTTAAAGAAGTTATTATATGGAGATTTTTAGAATTACCTATATTTTTTTTATATAACCTAAATAAAAGAATTTTATTACTAAGCAAATTAATCTCCTGTATAGGAAATATTATTTCCATATACTTTTTAAACAATTTCTTTTATATCTTCAGCTGATAATCTTTTTATTTATTTTATAAATAAAAATTATATTTGAATTAATATTTTTTTTTTATTAAAGGAAACCTTTTATTTATATCATATGGCTCATTTCTATTATTTTGAATTAAAGTTTTACTAATTCCTCTAAAAAAACTATCTAAAAAATAAAAAAATTCATCAGAAGTTAAATTCTAAGGGTTTTTAAATCCAAAGATAATAGTAATATCTTTTATTTAATATATATATTTTATTTTATTAATAAAAAAATAAACTAGATAAAACTAAATCAAAATCTCCTTTTGCAATAAAAAGCATAACTGAAAATAATTCACAACTATCGATTCTTCCTTATTAATAAAGTAAAACGAATTATTATAAAATAGTTAATTAAAAATATATGTACCTATATTTCTAGAATCTAAAAGTCGAAAAACTTCCTTTAAACTAGCTTTTTTTATCGATATTACATCCATAGATTACCAACTATCATACCATAATTAAAGAGGTGCTGTATTTTTTTTTGTAATTTTTTAAATTATTTATTTAAACGTTTCTTGAGTCCCTTATTTATAAAATATTCATATATTTGATTATAATTTTATTTAAATTTGATTATTTATTTACATCCTCCACATAATTCTACCATATGCCTTGGAAGACAGGAAGGTTATTTTAATTTATTATTATAATCATCAATAAACTTTTAATAAGGAACTATGTCAAATTTTATCATTTATATTGATGAAATAAAAGTAACTTTTTCTGATTGTTAATTTCTTATTTTAGAAAATATATTTATATATTAAAAAAAATTATATAAAAAATAAATATATAATAATTATTCATTTATAAAAAATAATAATTTATCTTATTATCAATTTAAAAGATTAAAAAATAATTTCATAAAATTTGAAGGCAATTTTTGTTATATTATATAAAAAAAAATTACATTAATTTATAAAGTGTTTCTATAATAAAATTATAGATATATTTTGAAATTAATTATTTATAAAAATGAAATAAAAAAAAAAAAAAAATATATATGATAATAAATAAAAAATAAATTAAATATTTATAATTATATATATAAAATTATATTTAAAAAAAAATAAAAAAAATATATATATATATATTAATCATATATTAATATTATATATATATATATATATATATATTATCTTATTTTTTTAATATATTTATTTAATTTATATTAATTATTTATATAATAGAAAAATATAAATTTAATGTTAATTAAACAATATTTTTTTTTTAATTTATAAGTTATTTATTTATTTTTCTTTATATTTTAAATAATTATTTAAAATCTTTTTTCTAATTTTTATTTTTAATATATATATATATTTTTATAAATATTTTTAAATTCTAAAATTTATAATATATATTCACTACATAAATTTTAAATATTTTTTCAAATTTATAAATATATTAATACAAAAACATATATATTATCACAACATTATATTTTATTTTGTTTTTCTCTATAATTTTCTTAATTAAATTTATAATTCTTTAAATTTTTTTTAAAATTCATACAAATATAAAAATAAATTAAATTAAATTTATTTTAATTTTCTTAGTATAATCAATTATTATTTGTCAAAATAATTTTATAACTTATCTTTTATACATATATTTTTTTTAATATCTAATTATAATAGGAATATATTATTATTTATTGTATTTTTATACGTTATTAAATTACTTAATTATCAAATATTCGTCATTTATAAAATATAAAATAATATAAAAAATATAGAGATCAATTTAGCAATTAATCTCACACATAAATGATTAAATACATTGAAAATAAATATTATTTTAATACAAAAACTGATTACATAAGTGAAGGTTCATTTGGCAAAGTTTACAAATTACACGAAATTGACACATATCAAATATATGCCACAAAAATAATAAGCCGGACTTCCATTTCATAAAATTAATTAAAAGAAATGCTAATAAGAGAAATAATGACATAATCATCTTTAAAACACGAGAATATAGTTCAAACAAAGGAAGTTTTTGGTACTAAAAATAATATATATATAATAATGGAATATTGTAATGGAGGAACTTTATTATAATACTTAGAAAATAAAAAAATATTAAATGAAAATGAGGCAAATATGATTTTTTGTTAAATTTTAAGCGGATATATATATATGGCAGAAAACAAGATTGTACATAGAGATTTAAAACTTGAAAATATTTTAATTTAAAATTAAGAAATTTATAAAATTGCAGATTTTGGTTTTGCGAAAATTTTATAAAATTAAAATGAAGTTTTACATTCAAAAGTAGGAACTCCTTTATATTGTGATCCTAATATTTTTTAATAGGAAGAATATGTATAAATTTAAAATTATATTTAGTTTAGTTTTAAACTAAATTATAAAAAAAGGATTATAAATGTGATATTTTTTCTTTAGGAATAATTTATTATTATTTAATATATGGTAAATAACCATGGAAAGGAGAAAATATACAAAATTTATTCGATAATATGAGAAATAAGTAAATATAATTTGATGAAAATATAATTGTTTCATAACAAACGAAAAGTTTTATTACTAAAATGTTATAATTAGATAAAAATAAAAGATTGGAAATATAAGAAATTAAAGAATAATAAATATTATTAAGTAAAATATATAATTATATAAATATATATATATATATATATATATATATATATATATATTATATATATCTATATCTATTATATATATCTATTATTTTATATATTTTTATATATATATTTTTTATTTTATAGAAAATTAAATCCTAAATAATTAAAAATATAATTAAGATATATAGATTTAATAATCTAATTATCATATAAATAATATATAAAACTCTATAAACTAAAATTCTAATTATTCTTATGATAATAATATAAATTTATTTTTTGATAAAGTAAATAGTTAAGATATTAAATAACCATAAAGTTAATAATTTTAAAATTTTTTATCTTAGAATGATAATAATATTTATTAATTAGATTTAATTAATTTAAAATAATAAACATAAAAAAATTAAATTTAAGAATCATTTTTATAAAATAAATCTTAAAATTTAATTAATAATATATAAAACGACTAATTAGATAATAATTCGACTTAATAATTGCATAATTAATAAATTTAAAATTTAATTTTTTAATAAATTTATGATTTAAGTTGTATATTTTAATCTGATTCTTTATTTAATTAAGTAGAAAATTAATAAAAAATTAATAAAAACCCTTTCGATGATATTAATTAAGAATAAATTTGAAAATTAAATTTATTTCACTTTTTGTTTTTTTTTTATTAAATAAAATAATTATTATCTTAAAAAATAAAATTATATTTTTTTTTAAAAAAAAAAAAAAATTTAAAAATTCAATTTTTTTTTTTTAACTAAGAAAAATTTTTATTTAAGAAAAATTAGAAAATTGCTGTTTTTTTTATTGTTGTTAAAAAAAAAAAAAAAAGTAATGAACCAAAAATCAATAATAACAGAAGTTTATTTAGAATAAAAACTCTTAGAATGTATAAATTTATCAATATAATAAAAATTCGACGAATCATTAAACTAACTAGCCGAAATTTTAGAATCTGCCTGCCTCTATTTCTAAGATGAAAAGCACCCAAAACTTGGAAAATTTTATTTTATATATGGAAACACACTTCTTTAAAGATTAGAACATAACACCGAAATATTAAACAATCCTAAAGAAAAATCAAAAAGTAAATCTGACCAAAAATTTAAAATAAACGAAAATTCTATAATAAAAGAAACATCCGAAGTAGAAGAAGAAAACAACGATAATGATGATTAAAATTCAAAAGAAGAAGAAAGTAATAATAACGAAGAAATAGCTAATAAAATTGAATGTTTGAATATAAAAGAAAACTAAAATCAAGAATAAGTAGATGACATATAATTAGTTTGGGAGAATTTAGAACTAAGTAAATATATTTATATGAACTAAGAATAAAGTAATGACGTATAATCTAAATTGGTCGAAATTCATATTAGACTAGCAGAATTTGAGGCTTGGAGAGATTAATATGAAAACTCTGTTTAAGAATATAGAAAAGCTTTATATTTAGCTAAAGAAATTGAGGAAGAGAATTTTTCAAGAAGAATTAGTTGTATTTATTTTTAATTAGGAAACGCTCTTTTATATGAAAATAAAAACTTATGTGAAGAATAGGCTCTTTAGTATTATTTAAAAAGCGTGGAAATTCTAAATAATATTTTAACTTTTAAAAAGGAATAAGAAAATGTGTAAGAAATTGAATATACAATAAAAGAATTAAATGAAAAAATTGAAGATACTGTTATATAGATTAAAGAAAGATAGAAATTTTAAACTTATTTTGAAGATTTATAGAAATAATAATAGATTAAATAATAAAATGGATAAAATCAATAATAAATTAAAAATTTGGGAGTTTTTGGAAGTTTGAGAAGACAATAAAATTAAGATAATTTGGAAAATATTCCAGAATAAAAAAAATAGAAAAAAGAATGAATTTTTGTTATTATTTTGTAATAAATATAATATATTATATTTTATGTATAAATATTTTTTTGTTTTATATTTAAAAATTTATTTAAATTATTTTTTTGTTTAATAAAAAGTAAATTAATAATATACATATATATATATATATATACAAAAATAAAATGATTTGTTAAAATTGTAAAAAGGAAGAAAACTTAAGCTTTTGTTAGAAATGTTAAAAAGTCTAATAAAAAAAATAAAAAATTAAATATATTCTTATCAAATTAAAAAATAGGTAAAATATTGTAGTAGAGAGTGCTAAATATAAGATTGGAAATAAGTAATAAAATAATGATTAAATTAGAACAAAGTTTTTATTTATTTATATTATTTTTTTTAATAAAAAAAAGCATAAATAATTATGTCATAATAATTAAGATGATTAATAAAAAGTTAAAGAAAATAAAAAATTTATATTAACTAAAGAAAATTCCGATTTAATAGTTAAAATATTAAGAAAGCATTTTATAAACATATACAAGTATATATTTTCTTTTTTTAAAAAAAAAACTAAAATAAATAAATTATTTTTTTTAACAAAAAAGATACATATATTTAATAGATTAAAAAGAAGCTGATTTATTTAAAGACAGAAATACATATTATTACAATAAAAAACGTGAAAATAAAGAATAAAAAAAGAATCACACACATTGTCATAATAATATAAACACAGAAAATCAACCTAAAAACGGATAATGTTGTACAACTTTTTTTGCCAAAATTTACATCCCTAAAAGTGAATAAACACATATAGAAAAATCCGCTATTGAAGCTTTGGATAAGCACAAACTGCCTTATTTATTACCTGAACTATTAGATTATATTAGTAAGAAATTCTTTAAGTTAAAAAACGATGGAATTAAAGATAATTTAAAATGGGATAAATAAACATAAGGTTATTTAACTGCTGAATGTTTGAAAGGAGGTTGCTAATAATTTTTTATTTAAAAAATTAAAGAATTTTCTATCAGAGACTAATCTATAGAGAGTAAATAACCACTTTTAGTAAAACATATATATATATATTTATAAATATATATATATATATACATATATATATTTATATTTATATTTATTTATATATATATATATTTATATAAATTATAAATAAGCTTGCAACTCCTTTGACTTGGAAAAAAATCATCCTAAAACATAATTAAACTTTTTATAAAGTCAAAATATAAGCTAACTTATAAATTAAGGATATACTTATATAAAAAACTTTATAAATAATACTGACTTTAATATGTTTTACCTTTAATATGAAAAATTATTTAATTTTTATATTTTAAAAAAATAAAAAAGAAATCTTTATAAAGAATTTAATTTTTTAGAAATCGATGGAAGATTTGAAGAATAAGTAAATGAAAAATCAGGAAGATCGGATAGAGTATTATGGGTTTCTTTAAGTGAAATCAGCGATAAAGATTTTAAAAATTTTAAAGAAATTTGTGTTAGATTAACTTCTATTCCATATGAATTGAATGAAAAAACACAATTTTTAGCATAAATTTCGGAATTGTTTTAAGTAATTTTTAGATAAAAAATAATTATAATAATAATAATAATAGGTTAGTTATTTTAAAAATAATGGAAGCTATTAAGAAAAGCATTTTGATTCATCTTTTGAAGGAAATTAAGATAATGGAAGGAAATTGACTGTATTATATTTTAGTAATTTAGATAATGATATAAATTGCAAAGATTAAGGAAAAATACGAATTTATCCTGATTTTCTAAAAGATGATTAAAATAAATATGTCGAATTTGAAACTGAGGTTGATAGTTTATTAATACTTAAAAGTAGGGTAATTCCTTATGAAATTTTACCTAATAATAACTAAAAAAGATATATTATTAGATTTTGGGTAACTGGACCAGCAGATAAAAATAAAAAATAATTTTGAAATATTAAAGTAAATTATACATAAATATTAATATATTTTGAAATTTTATTTGGTTACTTTACGTTTATAAATATGTGTTTTAATTCATATTTTAATAGATATATATTTATATATATTATATTTCATAACTCTATATTTTTTTTTTAACTTATTTGTATATATTATTTTGATTTTATTTAACATACTTTATTTTTTATTTATATATTTTTATTATATATAGTTAATTAAATAATTAACTAAATCAAAAAAAATGTATAAAAATTATGATATTGTTTAAATAAAATTTTCTAATTATCTAATATCATATTTATTAAAAAATTTATATTATAAATCTTTTCTAATAGTTTATTAAAAAAAATATTGGAAATCCTTTACAATTAAAAAATAAAAAAACACTCATATATATTTATAAGCTGATCATAATAAGGATTATAATATTTCTTTATAAAATTACGGTCTATATTTATTAAAAAATTTAAAATTTTAAAGGCTTAAACATATAAATATTTATATCAAAAATTACACAATTTTGTATTATAATCATCATACAATAAAATATTTTAAAAATTAATATATCTATCTTTATTTAATTAATAAAAAGATAATATTTAAAAATAATATATAAATGATAAATATTCACCTAATATTATAATTGAAATATATTTAAAACATCAATTTAAATATTAAAATTATATTTGTAATAAAAAAAGAGCAACATATATAAAACAATATTTTATAAAATCTTAGTAAATAAATATGAATAAATTTAATACAGATAAAAAATAATGATAAAAAAAAATCATGTAAATTTAAAATAATATATATATGAATATATATATATTCATATATATGTATATTTATATATATATATATTTATATATATTTATATAATTTTATATATATTTATAACTATTTATATATATTTATATATATATGTTAATTTTTATTTACTTATTTTTTTTTCTCTCTAACTAAAATAATAAAATAGAAAATTCTATTTTATTCTTTATTATTTTATTAATATTTTTATAAACTCATTATAAAAAAGAGTAAAATAGCAAAATTGATTATTTTATTAGAATAATATAAAAAGCAAACTATAATTTTTTTATGAAAAAATAAAATAAATCAATTTCATTAATTTAAGAAAAAACAAAATAAAAATTATTTAAAAAATGAACTAAAAAATAGATATTGAAATAATAATTTAACACTGTTAGAATATTAAAAAAATAATACCAAGCGATTTAGTTAAATCTATTAAAAAATAATTTTATATAATAAACTTTTCTACTATAAGAAATTGTTTTAAAGGGAAAGAGTTTATTAATTTTCTTTAAACTTAATATAATCCTGAGAATTTATAAACTAGATACGAATTAGTATTTATTACGAATATATATATATATTTATATATATTATTTTATTTTAATAAAAAAAGGTTGATTGGACGAAAAAATATCTATTTAATCCAAATAATGATTTTTAATATATTTTTAGTATATAAGAAGGTTAGGATTTTTATGACTCAGAATATTTATATAGATTTTTTGATGATGAAATTAAAGAATAGGTTTAAGATAAATAAATTATTAATATAGATGAGTAAACTTTATAGATTTTTGGTGGAAATTTGCCTTTTTTTTGGACTGATTATTATAGAAAATTACCTAAATTTGAGGAATTTTAATAATAGTTATATACTGTATTTAAAAATGTAATAAATAAAATAAAAAATTTATTATAAAAAAAATAAAATAATAATAGATTTTAAAAGAAATTAATTATGATAAAAAATAAAAAAAATTGATTATGAGAAATTATTTAATAATTAATAATATTAAAATGAATTTAAAAGTCTTTTTAGGCTACTTCCATTTATAAATATGCAAAAATTAGTCTAAAATAATAATTATAAAATTCCTTTTTACCTAAATATATATAATATGATGTGTATTTTGGCTTTAGAACAGACAAAAAATACTAAAGGTAGTTTATAATTAAGTACTAGGGAAAAAATAGACTTTTTTTAGTCAAATTTTATTAATATTTGTGGTTTTAAAGTACGTATAGATGATATAGAGCATGGTTTTTTACGATAAAATGATAATTTTGGAAAATGTGTATTAAAAGCGATAGTTAATTACACATAAGGTGGTACCCTTTCGGATAAATCAAAGAAAAGATTTAATCCGAAAAACGATTAGAGGGCAAAGTTTTGTGTTTAGGAGAAAATTTAGAGTTTTTATCATTTTGGATTATGTTGTGGGGTTTATGGTCATCCGGCTTTTGATGTTTTTTCTGTGGAAAATTTTTAAGAGGAAATTTTAGAAAGTGGGAAGATGTTTTTGTAAAATAAAAAAAATTTCAAAGTATCTTTATAAAATGAATAAATTGTTATTTAATGTTCGATTATTTTTAAATGGTTTTTGGGAGATTTTGGTAAATGTTAGAAATAATTATTGGAGGTTTTGGAAGGTTTTTTTGAAGATTAAGAAATGTCAAAGGCTGTATAAGAAGCTAAAAAATGTGATAATGTTAAGTTTTGTTATAATGAGTTTGATTGGAAGATTAATTGTATTTGAGTATATGTATAAATATGAATATATAAGAATATGTATATATATGATTAAATATGTATATATCATTATGTTTATGAAAATTCTTAAATATTTAATATATTTTATTTTAATTAATTATTTTATTTTATTATTAGTTATTATGAAATTAATTTTAATAGTTAATAAAATATATTTATATATTATTAACGTATTTAAAAATATTATATTAATTAAAATTTATTTATTATTTATAAAATTAATTATTAATAATGTTTTTTTTTAAAAAAAAAAAAATTAAAAAAAATAAATAAAACATATATGTTAGTAATTATAAAAAAAACAGTATATATATATATTAATATTATAAAAACATTAAATTCAATATTAAAAATATTAAATTTTTTTATATAGCGTTTATATTTATAATTTTCTTTAGATTTTTATTTTTTTAAATATAAATAAATAATATTTAAATATATATGAATAATGAAAACCTTTATGAAGAAGATAAAATATTAAATGTAAATTATAAAATATATATATATAAATAATATATATAAATATAAATATATATATATATATATATATACATATATTTATAAATAATATGTATTCATATAAAATTCTTAATTATAATCATCATCTTCTATATATATACATATATATTTTATTCATATTATAATATTTATATTTTAATTTTTTTTATATAAAAAAAATAATACTAATTAAGAAAGATATCTTCATAGGTAATAATAGAATTTCTCCTAAAAACAAAGAAATTAATTAATAAATATAAGCTAATGAATTATTATAATTAGAAAATGAATAATAAAATAATAGTTAAGGTTCTCCAAATACGAAATATAGTTTAAATATAAATATTACAGAAACTTTAAATTCTGTATAGGGATTAATTTTAAATTAAAGCCCTTAGTTACGTGATTTGAAAAAAATAAATAATTAATCCAGCTATTTTTATAAAAATAGTGACGATTAAAATACTGAAGACTAATTAGTTTTAAATCATAAATAGCAGAATATTTAAGAATAGGTAAATTAAATATAAATTGATTAATAAGAAAAATTCTTAAATAAAATTAATATGGATTAATAAATAGCTAAAGGTTCAACATGTATTATAAATAATTAATTAGAAATTTAATAAAATGATAAGTATCTAAAAATCCGTGGAAATATATAAGAAAAATAATCTAATAATTCAAAAAATGAAATAAACGAAGAAGAAAATAATTAAGAAAAGCTGAAAAAAAACCCAAATATTTTAGATTTACCTAAAAATTAATATTATTAAAATTAAATTTTGTAAAAAAAATCTAATTTAACATTTAATATTATGAACAAATTAATTGATATTACTAATGGAAATTAACATATAAATACTTAAAAATCAGATGATGAATATGAGGAATAATAAATGCTTTAAAGTATAAATATATGTATATATATATTTATATATATATATTATATATATTATTATTATATATAATTAATAATTAGCAAATAATATTAACTATAATAATATTGAGTTTGATGAAAATATACTCAAAAAGAATAAAATAATACCTATATTAAGAAAAACTTATATTGAATTTAATACATTAATGAAATAATAGACTATTGAATTTATTAACGGGGAAGATGAAGAAGATGAAATCGAAGAAAAGGAAGAATAAAACAAAATTAATAGTAGTATAGAAGAAGAAGAGAAAAAAAAAGAATAAGAATTAAAATCTAATGAAAATTCTAAATTTGATAAATATAAAACTAAAAGAAAAAACAATTAAAAAAATAACATATAAGCTAATATTGAATACGAATATCCATTTCCTTATAATTAAAGTTTAAAAAATTAAGAAGAATAGTTATTTTTAATTAGTATAGATTAAAAATTAAAAAATGAATATGATACTATGTAGAAATCAATAGAATAAAACTAAAATAAAAGAAAAGAAAATATAATTTATCCATCAAAAAAAAATGACTTTGAAATGCTTTCCATTAAGGCTGATTCTTATCCTTTTTTATAATTAAGAATATTTATACTTTTCATAATTGCGTATTTATTTATTATATATTGATTTTTTTTTTTTTCAATATTATATATATTATTACCATTTTTTTTTATATTTATTAGGTTAATTAAATTTATTTGTAATAAAATAATTAAGAATAAGTTATTTGATTATACTATTCTATTTATTATTATTTTTAATTCAGTAATGCTTGCTTTAGATGATCCTACTAAAGATACAACTGACTACACATTACTTTTAATAGATGATTTTTTTTTATGGGCTTATACTGTTGAATGCATTCTAAAAATACTAGGAATGGGATTCTTTTTAAACCCAGGGGCCTATTTACGTGACGGATGGAATATTTTGGATTTTTTAATTGTTGTTACGAGTTTAATTCCAGTAATTATAGGAGGGAATAGTTCAGTAAATTTATCTTCTTTAAGATCTTTGAGAGTTTTAAGGCCTTTGAGAACTATATCATCTATAAAGGAGTTAAAAGTAATTCTTTTAACTTTATTTAGTGCACTTCCTTATCTTGGAAACACTTTAATTATTTTAATTTTTTTCTTTCTTATTTTTGCTATAGCTGGACTTTAGTTATTTATGGGTATTTTAAAAAAAGATGTTTTTTTGAAGATAATGGGATTCCGAATTATAATAATATAGTTTGTGGGGGAGAAATGGAATGTCCTAGTGGGTAAATTTGTGGAAAATTAAATTAAAATCCAAATTGGGATATAACGAGTTTTGATAATATTTTTATTTCGTTTTTAATGGTTTTCTAATGCGTTACTTTAGAAGGTTGGTCCGAAATTATGGTAATTTATATAATTTAAATATGTAAGTCTTATTTTATATTAGTTTTGGATATTTGATGCATTTTCTATATACACAGTTATTTATTTTGTTTTATTATTATTTGTAGGATCTTTTTTTTTACTTAATTTAACTTTGGCTGTCATTAAGGCTAAGTTTTCAGATAATTAAAATACCAAATAACTATTACAAAGTGATGATAATAATAAAGAATAAATAGATATAAATTAACTTAAATCTTTTAGAAGAATGGAAAGAAATCATTTTAAAAGATAAAGATTATTAAAAAAATTAGAAATTAAAGTAATATATAAATATAAATTAAATAATGTATAAATATATATTTATATATTTTATGTATAAATATATATTTATATAATAATATATTTAATTTTAATTTTTTTATTATTTACACAAGTTTGGTGCTTTCAATGATGATAAAATATATAGTTAGGATATTTAATAAGGGTTGGAATTCAATTGGGAAGATTTAAATAAGTTAAAATAATTATAAGATATTGAAGATTAAAAATTAGCAAAGTTGGAATAAGAAAATATGTAGATAGTTAAATTTGAGAAATATAAAGAAAAGTTAAAAAGTAAAGTTCATAAAGCAGCATTAAAAGACAAATAATTAAAGAATAAAGTTTTTATTTATGATAAAGAATAACTTCCTTAATAATAATTATTAATAAAAATAAAAAAAAATGGATTTTAATAATAATAATAATAGCAATAATAATAATTATAAATTTAATAAGAAAAAGAGAAAAAAGAAAAAGAAAAATAAAAAGAATTTAAAAACTCAAAAAAATTGAAAAAAAAAAAAAAAAAAAACAATATTTAGAAATAAGAATCTGAATATTAATAAAATTAGTTTTTTACAAGAATTTAATAATTTTAAAAAAAAGATCATTTGGTTAAGTTTATGGGAGTAAAAACTGTTCGAGAAATAGTAAAAAATAAAGAATAATAGTAAAGTTATTTAGCAGAAAATGAAGATGATGAAAAGGTTATTAGAAATTTTGATAAAATTAACTAATAAGAATAAGAAGAAATAAAAAATTAATAATAAAATGAATAGTATTTTTAAAATAATAATCCTGATATGATAACTTTTAATTAATAATATAAAAAATTAACAAAATTAAAAGAAATAAAAAATGAAATTTCTATTTTAAATTTAAAATCAAAAAAAAATTAATTAAATTCTAATTAAGTATAAAATTAATTTTTTTTTAAAGAAGATTAATAAAATTTTTAAAATATAATTAAAAATTAAATTTTGATTTCAAATGAAAATATTAAAAGTGAAAATATATAAAAAAAATAATAACCTTTAATACTATATAATTAATAAGAAAAAGAATACAAAATAAATAATAATAATAATAATAATAATAATAATAATAATAATAATTAATTATAATTACAATTTTCCTTTTTAAAGTACTGATAGTAACATAAAATCAATACTTTTTAAATCTACTTCTTTGTCTAATATTAAATCTGAATTATCTTTTGTAAAAAAAAAGAAACAAATAATGTCTTAAGTAGCTTTAGATAATGATAAAGAAAAAATAAAATAAATAAAATAAAATCAATTTACTAGTGATGAAGATGAAAGTTTATCTTCTTAAAGTTAAGTTTCTATTAATAATTATTAATTTAATGATTATTTATATAAGAAATAATATTAAAGTGATGAAATTTAGAATTAATAACCTAAACTATTTGTCCAGATGGGAAAAATTATTATAATTTAAAATTAAGAATGTGATAATGACGATGATCCTGAAGATGAAAATAATATAAATAATCGTTAAAATTTCAAATAAAGCAAAAGTACTTTTTAGAATTTTAATCATGGTATAGTTCATAAAAAAGATGGATTTTAATAAAAAAGTACTCATAATAAATTAAAAAGCGGAGAAAAAATACATAATATGGAAGAAAATATTAAAAATCCAAATGAAATTGTTTAGAAAGAAATAGATATTGAGAAATAGAAAAAAAAGAAATAAAAAGAAAAAAAGTTGAAAGAATAAAACAAATTTAACGTTCGGGAATGGAAAATAATGATCGATTTAAGTATTTAATATAAAAGCGATTCTTTAAAAGAAGTTTTGTAACATAGAATTAGAGAGGAATAGGAGAAAAAGGATTATGAGGAATAATAAAAAATAAAGAATTAAAAATATGTACTTTTATATAGATAAAGGAAAGTTATTTTGTAGAAAAAAAAAGGGAAAACAAACAATGTAGTAGTTAATAAATAATAGAATAAAAATTAAACTAAATTAAATAAACATTATAAATAAATATCAAAAGAAGGTACTTTTAAAAATTAAAGTATTGATGAAAATAATGATAATGTCCAGTAGTAATATAATAATAATAATTAAGATAATGTTTATTTTAGAGGTTCGGTTATGCCTTGTAGGAAAAGTGATGCAGTGGCTTAAATGGATAAAATTTAGGCCTGGTTTAAAAAAATTAATTAGATGGATAATAATAATGAATCTATTTAGAATAGTTCTGTGAAAAAAAAGAATAAGAAATTTGTAGGAAATGAAGAAAAATTATTATTAACTTTTGAGAATATTAAAAAAATTATAAAATACAAAATTCCAATTGAAAATTAAAAATAACTAATAGATCATATAGGTTTTAAAAATTTATATTAGGAAATAAAAGTATATATATATATATTTAAACAATAATTTTAATAAATTTTTTTAGAGAAAAGATTATCATACGAGTAAAAAATAAATAAATATATGGTCAGGATCAGATATATCGAAGACATATATAAATAATTAATAGAAAACTAATAAAATTCTAAGAATTCTATGTACTTATTCTTAAGATATTAATATTTATATAAATGGAATATTAGGATTAGTAAAATTAAATATATTAAATAAAATATAAAATATAAAAAATAATAAAATATATTTATAAATATATATATATATATATATATATATATATATATTTTATTAATAAGATTATTGTAATGCATAAGCATTTTTAGAATTTTACAAATTGTAATTATTTTAATAACTTTGCTTTAATATCCGTATTTTTAAATACAATTATTCTTGCTTTAGAAGGTACCTTTTAAGACGATGAAACAAACCTATTATTAGACAATTTTAGTTTAATTTTTACTTATATATTTATAGCCGAAATGTCTTGTAAAATAATTGCATTTGGTTTGCAAGGATATGTTCGAGATCGAATGAACATTTTCGATGGAACTATAGTTTGTCTTTCAGTATTAGAAATGGTACTTTTTAGCGGTGGAAATAAAGCTGTTTCAGCTTTTAGAGCTGTAAGAATCGTTAGGACTTTTAGAGTTTTAAGAGTCACTAGATTACTTAGAAGTTTATAGTTTATGGGGAAGATAGTGGAAGTAATAGGGAGGACTATAGATTCATTTATTTATATTGTTTTATTGTTGTTTTTATTTATTTTTATATATTCATTACTTGGTATGTAGATTTTTGGAGGGTAATTTAATTTTAACGATAATACTATAAGGTAAAATTTTGATTCTTTTAATAATGCAGTAGTTGTTGTATTTCAAATTTTATCAATGGAAAATTGGCAGTAAATTCTTTAAATTTCTTTAAGGACTAGTATATCACCAGTTGTTTCTAGTATTTATTTAATTTCGTGGATTTTTATTGGAAATTGGGTTTTTTTAAACCTTTTTTTGGCTATTTTATTAGATGGATTCACCAATAATAGAAAAGATGAAGAAAATAAAGAAGAAAATGACGAGAGTGATATAGATGAATAAGTAGAAAACATTTTATAATAATAAGGGTATGATACTAAGAAATTATTGAAGTAAAATCAATAATTTGAATAAAAATAAGAGGCTATTGAATCTATGGACAATTTCGATATATAGGAAGAAAATAATAATACTATGTTGATGTTTAAGAATATAGACTGTGAATATTCTATTTATTTATTTTCTAAGAATAATAAATTCAGATAGATTGTTTATAGGATTGTATAATATCCTTAGTTTGAAAATGTTATATTATTTTTTATTATTTTTTCAAGTATTAAACTAGTCGTGGATACTTATTTAGATCCAGAATCGGAAGCTTAAAAAATTTCGAGTTAAATGGATATTGGATTTAATTTATTTTTTAGTATAGAAAGTACACTAAAAATTATCGCATATGGATTTTTTATGGATCATAATTCTTATTTAACTGAAGCTTGGTCTTAATTAGATTTCTTTATAGTATTTACTAGTCTTATAGATATGAGTTTTGATTCTGTTAATATTCCAGCTATTAAAGTAATTATATATAGTATATAGTATATATATTTTTTAAGATTTTAAGACTCTTAAGAACTTTAAGGCCATTAAGATTTGTAAGCCATAATATTAATATGAAAGTCGTAGTTATAGCTTTAGTAGAGTCTGTTGGAGCAATTTTTAATGTTTTGATTGTAGTAGTTTTAATTTGGTTTATGTTTGCTATATTAGGAATTTCTTTAATTGGATAAAGATTAGGATATTGCTAAATGGATAATTAATAAAGTTATTATGGGATTAATTATGAAAAAGTAAACATTTATATATATATCAAATATATAATTATATATTTTATTTAATTAAAGTGTATATAAATGGGTAATAATTGGAGTGTTTTCTAGACTAATTTTGACAATATACTGTATGCAATGAATACAATTTTCATATTAAGTTCATTAGAAGGATGGCCTGATATATTTTTTTTATGTGTAGACTCTGATATGAAAGAATATGGGCCTAGTAAAGATAATTATAGTATAATTTTCATATATTTTTTCGTATTTATACTTGTTGGGTCTTTTTTTTTAATAAATCTGTTTGTTGGTGTAATATTTTTGAAATTTAATGAAGCCTAAAAAAACGAAAAAAGATAAAGTCTTCTTTTTTTAACTGAATAATAGTCTAGATGGATTGAATTTCAAATAATGATAATTGGCGTAAAAGCCGAATTTGCAGCAAATAATACTCCTGTGAATAAATATTAGCTTTTTTTTTATAAAATTATTAATTTTAAATTTTTTGATGCTTTTATTATGTTATGTATAGTCTTAAATATTATTTCTATGGCAGTAGATTATGAAGGCTCTACTTTGGAATATAATTAAGCTTTGGAGTAAATTAATTTAGTTTTTACAAGTATATTTATGATAGAGCTTGTTTTTAAGTTAATTGCGTTAGGGTTTAAGGGTTATTGGATTTCTTCTTGGAATAGGTTTGACCTTTTTATAGTCTTATCCTCTATATTGGACCTTATTTTAAACTCTATGGGAAATAGTATGTCCTTTTTAAGAGTAGGACCGTAATTAGCGAGGATTATGAGGGTCATGAGAGTGTCGAGATTGCTTAAATTAGTAAAAACTATGTAAGGTCTACAAAAATTGATAGAAACTTTAGTATTTTCGCTTCCTTCTTTAATTAATGTTGGGGCTTTGTTAGGTTTGGTGTTTTTTATTTATGCAGTTTTAGGTGTTTTTATTTTTTAGTAGGTAACTGTGGGTATAATTATTAATAGATACAATAATTTTTCGAATTTTAGTTATGCAATGATAACACTTTTTAGAGCTCGTACAGGTGAAGATTGGTATAAAATTATGCTTGATTTATCTAAGACTACAGATTGTACAGAAGGAAAAGATTGCGGAACATGTATATATATTTATTTATATTCTTTTATTTAATTTATTTTAGATTTTTCGTTTATTTATTTTATAAGCTTTATCTTAATTGCTTGTTTTATTATGCTTAATTTATTTATTTTAATCATTATTTAATATTTTGAAGATTATCATATGAAAGATGATAATCCTTTGTAAGCTTTTAATGAATATTTAGATACTTTTAGATCTGTATGGTCTAAATATACTGCTTATTCAAACGGAGAGAAGATAAAAATGAAAAATTTAATAAAGTTTTTATGTGAATTACCTATTCCTTTAGGTTATTATGATAAAAGTGATGATTAATAATTAATAGATAAGCATTAAGTAGCTAAAGATATAATGAATATGAAACTTCCTGAGTATATAAAAATTTATATAATTAATTAAATATACATATATATATATATATATATATATATATATATATATATTTATATATGAATATTTGTACTTGTTTATATAGTGACGGTGAAGAAAACATATTTTTTAATGATGTTTTATTTGCTTGTATAAAAAAAGCTTATGGTGAAGATGTGATAGCAGATTCTGGTCCTGAGATTTAAAGATTTTTAAATTAATAGGAAATAAAGACTAGGAAATAATTAGAGGATAAAAAAAAATTGTATTTAAGAATAAATAGAAGATATTTGCTGAATTAAATAAAAATAATACTGTAAATCCAATTTTATTGATGCTATTTTGTGGCATGGCATTTAAGGCTTGGAGAAATTATATTAATAGACCTACAAAAGGAAACGGGTCGATTTAATCTGCTACTTCAGATTCTTCAGATAGTGATTATATAGATGACGAAGATGATTTCGATAATAATATATTAAATACTGTTAATAAATAAAGATTCAAGTTAAAAGAAAGCGTTATTAAAAACGTCAAATTCTAAATGGGATTATAAGATGATTAAATTGATGAATAAGAAGATTCAGAAGATTCAGAAAACTCAGAAGATTCGGATATTTAAAATGATAAAGAAAGTATTTTTATAAAATCTTAAGGGGCCTCGTAGAATTTTTTAAATCTTAATAATAATTAGTAGAATATTATTAAAAAAAGCTATAATTAACTTGAAACCAATTAGAAAAAATAATAGAAAAGTAAAGTTTAAATAGGGTATATTGTTTCTAAGAGTATTTTTAATATAGAAAATTAAACATGATATATATATATATATTATTTACTAGTATTATTAATAAAATAAATTCATATTTATTAAAAAATAAAAAATAAATGTTTTTTTTGTTGAAAAAAAATAAAAACGATTTTATTTATTACTTTAATATTTTTTTATTTCAATCTAAATAATAAATTTAAAATATAAAATTCATCTTACAATTTTCATATGTTTAACTTTTAATTGTATTCATTATCAATATAAATTAATTCTTTATTGTTTTTAAAAATTATTAAATCAGCTTAAAAATAAAAGAAATATTATATATTTATATATATAATATATATATATATATATATATATATATATTTTATTTATTTATATATAGTTTTTTTTTTTTACATATCTTTTATATTTTTCTTATTTATTAAATCATATTTTTCTTATGTATTATTACAAAAAGTATTTTTTCTTTAATCATTTTGTATTTTTTTTATACTTGCTTATTATTTTGATTATATTGGTATATTTATTTATTCTGTTTAATAAATAGATATATTTTCATCTGTTAATAAATAATTGCTTTAATTTTATTTCTTAATATCAATTTTAATATTATCTTATTTTATTTCAAAAGATTTTTATTTTTCATAGCTTATATTAATATCTGCATTTAAATGCTTCTAAATGGGTTCTGTATGTACTGCTTTTACATTATAATCATTAAACAACTATGGATTTTCGTATAAAAACTCAGGCTTATAATATTCAGTATAGTTTTTGTTTTCAATCCAAATAGTATATGTTTATTTATTTTTTTATTTATTGCTTTTTACTTCATGAGGTATTTTAGATAAAATATAAGTACTGATTAAAAAATTATTAGAGTCGTTCCAAGAATTAGAATTGTTTTTTCATGCAGATTGAGAGTTTAATTATCATTAGAATTGAATTTAAAAATAATTTACATTTTGATAAAACATAATTTGTTTTTTTACTAAATTGCATTTTATTTTAAATTGGATTGCTATTTAACAAATTTAAAGTATTTTAATTTAGCATATTTAGAGTTTTTTGAATGAATTTTATAAAAATAATATATTATTGATTAAATTAAACTTTCATGCGATTATATTGTTTCTTATGAATTTTAATTTATAGCATATATATTATTATTTGTGTTATAATATTTACTTATTTTTAAAAAATCCTAATTTATTTCTTTATTTATTTTGGAAGAATTTTATATTTTTATATCTTATTTATATTTTATTATTTTGCATATTTTTTATAGACTTTTATTAAATGAAAAACTTTCGATTTCGCAAAAAATTAAATCTTTTAAAATTAAAATATTTCTATTTTCTGAACAATTTATATCAAATATAAAATTATAATTGGAATAATTATATATTATTTCATTTTATATTTTTTTTGCTTTTAAATAGTTTTCTAATAGTTATAATTATTAAATTCTTATTTTCATATAAAATTTAAAAAAAATTTCATTTAAAAAATACATTTCTAATAACTTACATTTGTTATGATTAATCAAATCACCTTTTTATGAATACTTATAATACTAATTATTTATATTACATTATGAATATATAATTAAATTATTATTATAATTATTATGTACATTTTAATTTAAAACATTAATATTGTTTATTTAATTATTATTTATAACATTGTTATTATTAAATATTGGTCTAAAATTATAATTATAATTAAAATTATTATTATTATTATTATTATTATTATTATTATTATTAATATTATTATTATTATTATCATAATATTTATTTTTCACTTTTTTATTAATACTATTTTTTTAATATTCTTAATTATTTGGTTATATTATTTTGTTTTATTTATAAAAGAAGCTTTTCTTAATATTATTTTCTAATATTATTTCCACTTTTTTATTTTTAATTTTTTAATTACTGTTATTGCTTTAACTGCAATTTTAACTTTAATTTTTTTTATTAAAATCTAAAACACTTACAACTTAATTTATTTATTTTATACTTATTTCATTTTAATTATTAAATTATATTTGTTTATTTTTTTCAATATTTTAACTGCATTTATTATTATTATTTAAAATACTAGTTGACATATTAATATCAGTATTATTTAAATTTAGTTCTTTCATATATTTATTTATAATTTTTATTATTTTTTTAAGTTTATCCATTAATTATTTTTATAGTATTTTATTTTATTTTTATAGTTAAATTAATCCTATAGTATGTTTTTAATCTATTTTTATTATATTTGCTTACATTTTATATTCATTATTTGAAAAATATACTTTTTCTTTGAATTGATTTTATTTATTTATTTTAATTTTTTGTTTTTCCAAAGTAATTTATAAAAAATTTAATAACAAGTTTTTAAAATTTATTTCTTATTAATTTTTTATTCTTTTTATTATTATATTTAATAAAAGCATGATTATATATTTCTTTTATCATTAAAAAGCTTTATTTAATTAATATCTTATATTTAAAATTAATTATCTTTTATTATTTAAATTATTTCTTTATTTTTTATGTGTTTGTCTAAATCATCATTTATTATTATATTTTTTTTAATATCATAGATAATAAATTATTTATTTAAATTATTTTCAATTAAAAAAAGTAAAATATTCTATTCATTAATAATTTTATTTATTTAATAGGTCAATACTTTATCACTCATATAAAAAATTAATAGACAAAGCATTTTTAAGCATATATCTTCATTTTAAACAAACTTATGAAAAATCTAAAATAAAATTGATATATTAAATGCTATTTTAAAAGTAATATCGTAATTTAATTTAAAGCTAATTAAAAAATTAAATTTTATTATCATTAGTAAACATATATAAATTAATGCTAATTCTTAAAGACATAAAAAAAATTACTTTTTCTTATATTTTATTATTATTTGTTTTTGAAAAATAAAAAATCAAATTATTAAAAGATATTATAAACACTATTATCCATGTTAAAATCTTGTGATAGTTAATTATAGTTGTTTTTATATTAAGAAATACGCCTATTATTAAAAAAAAGGCTAAAGTAAAAACGTAATAGATTATTAAAAATGTTTCGATTTCATATATTCGCATAAAAAATATTACTATAAAAAAAATTAGATAAAAAAAAGGAATATATTTAAAAATTAAAAAATTTATTTATTTTAAAACCATTTTTTTATATTTATTAATGTTATTAATATAAAAATTATTTTTATTATTATTCTAATTTTATAAATTATTAATAATATAAATATTTTTTAAATAATGCATTTTTTATACATATATATATATATAATTATATAATTTAAATTTTTTAAATATTAAATTATTAATATAAATTAAATTTTCTTATTTAAAATAAAATTTAAAAACGATTAATTTTTATGAAATCTTAGTAATTAAATAAATTTTACATAAATATATATCTTTTTAAGTATCTATATAAATAAATCATAATATTAATATTATTTTTTAAAAATAATCAGGAATATTGTATATAAATATTTTTTTTAATTATAATATAACTTTTAAAAATATTTTATTATTTTATTTTATCTTTATTAAAATTAAAATTATTTATTATTTTAAAAAAATAATTTTTAATAAATAATTATAAAATTTTATATTTAAAAATTTTTATAATAAAAATCATTTATTTATAAAAAATTAATATATTTTTTTAATATTTAAAATAATAAATAATTTTAATAATAACTTTTATATTATTATTAAATAAAATAATAATTATTTTTTTAATTATAATATTTTTTTTTTTTAATAATTTTAAAAATATTTAACTTTATTTATATTTAATCAAAAATTTATAAATTATAATATATAAATTAAAAAAAAAAAATAAATAAAAAAATTATCAAAAATAATTAAAAAAAATCTAAAAAATAAAATAATTAAGAAAAAATATTACAGATTATTATTTATAATAAACTAAGATAAAATAGCATTATATTGATTTGATAAATGATATTAAATGTTTATAAAATAACATAATTATATTAAAATTAAAAAATAGATAAAAAAAATAAAGAAACTTAAATTTAAAATATAAAATTTAAAATTATTTTTTAAATAAAACAATATAAAAAAAAATTATATAAATAAAATTACTATATATTAATTATACATAATATTATATAAGTTAAAGAAATATCTATAATAATATATGTACTTTTGTAAAA